TGTCCTGCACAGAGCCCTGACCTCACCCTTATTGGTGTGTAGGAACTCAAGTGTCCTGCGCAGAGCCCTGACCTCACCCCTATTGGTCTGGAGGAACCCAAGTGTCCTGCACAGAGCCCTGACCTCACCCCTATTGGTCTGGAGGAACCCAAGTGTCCTGCACAGAGCCCTGACCTCAATCTTAGTGGTCTGGAGGAACTCAAGTGTCCTGCACAGAGCCCTGACCTCAACCCTATTGGTCTGGAGGAACCCAAGTGTCCTGCACAGAGCCCTGACCTCACCCCTATTGGTCTGGAGGAACCCAATTGTCCTGCACAGAGCCCTGACCTCAACCTTATTGGTCTGGAGGAACTCAAGTGTCCTACACTCAACTCTATTGAACAGCTTTCGGATGAAATGCATTATGTACCAGGTCTTCTCATCTAACATCAATCCTGACTTCACCAGGGCTATTTTTGGCTGAATGGGCACAAATTACCAGACACACGCCAAAATTTTGTAGGAAGCCCATGGTTTAATCTGTTTGGTGTGGAGGAACTCGAGTGCCCCGAACTCAACCCTACTGAACACCTTAGGGTAGATTTGGAATGCTGATGGTGAGCCAGGTCTTCTCATCCAACACCCGTACGTGACCTCACAAATGCTGTTTTGGCCAAACGAGGAAGGTTTGACGTTGTAATCACATCGCTGAGTATGAAAACAAAGCCATGGTTTGCATCTACATGGTGAAATTTTGCCAAAATTTGGGTGAAATTGGTTGCTTTGCTGCAAAGCCAATTTAGCTGGCTAATCCCAAGTCAAGGCTAGGATCTAGAAGCAGGGCTGGGATCCAAGGAACACAGGGGACTAGAGTGACATCAGCTGCCTCATCAGTATATATATATATATATATTTTTTTTTTTTTTTTGGCCGGTTTGTTTGGCCACGTCACATTTACATCAAGGCTTATACAATTAATTCTTTATATATTCATCCCAAAATAAGATGCACATTTGTAATAACTTCGCAGGGACCCAGGGGCGGACTGACAACTCATGGGGCCCCCGGGCAATAGGGGATCATGGGGCCCCTGTGTCCTTGCCCAAACTCAAAAAAGCCTATGAAAAAGGTACCAGGGGCATCTCATGGGGCCCCCTACTGGGTCCAACTCTTCTTGAATGTTGTATGAATGTCCATTAATAGACCCAACTGCTGGTTGTATGAATGTCCATCAATAGACCCAACTGCCAGGGGTGGACTGACAACTCATGGGGCCCCGGGGCAATAGGGGATCATGGGGCCCCTGTGTCCTTGCCCGAACTCAAAAAAGCCTATGAAAAAGGTACCAGGGGCATCTCATGGTGCCCCCTACTGACACCGGGCCCTTGGGCAGTGCCCGAGTTTCCAAATGGTCAGTCCGCCCCTGCTCGGACCCCAGTCTCTTCTTCCCCTGTAACTAACACGCAGGTCATGGCGGTTGAGTCGATCTTGAGGCGATTTCTCAAAAAAAGCATCGGACAGAACAAATGAAACGGTCGCGTTGCTGATGCCTGATATTTTAGCGGTTTGTTGAGTTCCTTCTTGACTTCTGCTGAAAAGTTTGGGCGTGGTGAAAATATCTGTAAATTTACGACATCATTAGCAAATAGAATGGATTTTTTTTTTTTTTCCTCTTCCAAATCTGTTCACCAGAAATAATGGACTCCGGTGATGGTACTAAATGAGACATAATTTGTGTCCAACCCATGGCCTGCTTTGATGTCTTTTTCACGGTCCAAGCTCCATTTCTGACAGACTGCGGACAGATGCTGAACAGAGGAACGCTGCCGCCAGTACGCTCCAATCTATTTTTAATTACTATCCACATGGACATTTTTCTGTGCATCCAAAGTCTGTCACAAAGTCTGAAGTCCCCTGTCCATCTTCTGAAGAGCAACTCCGTGCAGCTAACTGCTATTGGCATCTGTCTTTTCCAGCATTAAGTCAACGGGACGCTTCGAAAACAGGAATGTCGCAAATCTGTGTTTTCAGAACACATCGGCCTGCCAAGGTTTCACAATTCGAAACAACACGACAGAGCTGCTCATAGGACATTGCGCTTACTTGTTTACAATAGTTCTGGTGTTTTTACTAATATTTTGACCTGTTTTTGCCTTTTGATACATCTCAGAACTGCTGATCTCCACTTCCTGGCACGTGCACTCCAGCGATGGCCTACATGGAATTTCATAGGGTGGATTTCTTGATGGTGACAACAGTGGACCATGCCTGTAAACGTGAGCTGAAATGGCCCCATGTGGTCACCACTGGAAGCTCTGAGACGGGGTGACAACACAAAAGCGCAATTGGAGACAGGGATGGAGAGTTTTGAAGGCTGAGCCCCATGTGGTCACCACTGGAAGCTCTGAGACAGGGCGACAACACAAAAGCGCAATTGGAGACAGGGATGGAGAGTTTTGAAGGCTGAGCCCCATGTGGTCACCACTGGAAGCTCTGAGACAAGGTGACAACACAAAAGCGCAAATGGAGACAGGGATGGAGAGTTTTGAAGGCTGAGCCCCATGTGGTCACCACTGGAAGCTCTGAGTCGGGGTGACAACACAAAAGCGCAATTGGAGACAGGGATGGAGAGTTTTGATGGCTGAGCCACATGTGGTCACCACTGGAAGCTCTGAGACGGGGTGACAACAAAAAAGTGCAAATGGAGACAGGGATGGAGAGTTTTGACCTGTTTTTACCTTTTGTTACATCTCAGAACTGCTGATCTCCACTTCCTGGACACGTGCACTCCAGCGATGGCCTACATGGAATTTCATAGGGTGGATTTCTTGATGGTGACAACAGTGGACCATGCCTGTAAACGTGTGCTGAAATGGCCCCATGTGGTCACCACTGGAAGCTCTGAGATGGGGTGACAACACAAAAGCACAATTGGAGACAGGGATGGAGAGTTTTGAAGGCTGAGCCCCATGTGGCCACCACTGGAAGCTCTGAGACAGGGTGACAACACAAAAGCGCAATTGGAGACAGGGATGGAGAGTTTTGAAGGCTGAGCCCCATGTGGTCACCACTGGAAGCTCTGAGACGGGGTGACAACACAAAAGCGCAATTGGAGACAGGGATGGAGAGTTTTGATGGCTGAGCCACATGTGGTCACCACTGGAAGCTCTGAGACGGGGTGACAACAAAAAAGTGCAAATGGAGACAGGGATGGAGAGTTTTGACCTGTTTTTGCCTTTTGTTACATCTCAGAACTGCTGATCTCCACTTCCTGGACACGTGCACTCCAGCGATGGCCTACATGGAATTTCATAGGGTGGATTTCTTGATGGTGACAACAGTGGACCATGCCTGTAAACATGTGCTGAAATGGCCCCATGAAGGCTGAGCCCCATGTGGTCACCACTGGAAGCTCTGAGACGGGGTGACAACACAAAAGCACAATTGGAGACAGGGATGGAGAGTTTTGAAGGCTGAGCCCCATGTGGTCACCACTGGAAGCTCTGAGACGGGGTGACAACACAGAAGCACAATTGGAGACAGGGATGGAGAGTTTTGAAGGCTGAGCGCCAAAATATGGTTGACAGTCCGGATAAAGTTTGTTTCGTATACAGTAAATACATTTTGGGGGCTCCTAAAGGCCCCCCCTCATCAGGGCCACAAAGCAATCAAACATCTAGAATAGCTTTTTATCAGCCTTTTTACCCCACAGGAACCCTTGAAGTTATTTTCAGGCCCTGGGGAACCCTTGCTAAAACCAATTCATTAAGGGTCAGTGGGACATTGGAGGCCAAAGGGACAAATGGTCAGTGGTCAGTGGGAAGAATGTCCCTTACATTGGGGGTCAGTGGGAAGAATGTCCCTTACATTGGGGGTCAGTGGGAAGAATGTCCCTTACATTGGGGGTCAGTGGGAAGAATGTCCCTTACATTGGTGGTCAGTGGGAAGAATGTCCCTTACATTGGGGGTCAATGGGAAGAATATCCCTTACATTGGGGTTCAGTGGGAAGAATGTCCCTTACATTGGGGGTCAGTGGGAAGAATGTCCCTTACATTGGGGGTCAGTGGGAAGAATGTCCCTTACATTGGGGGTCAGTGGGAAGAATGTCCCTTACATTGGTGGTCAGTGGGAAGAATGTCCCTTACATTGGGGGTCAATGGGAAGAATATCCCTTACATTGGGGTTCAGTGGGAAGAATGTCCCTTACATTGGTGGTCAGTGGGAAGAATGTCCCTTACATTGGTGGTCAGTGGGAAGAATGTCCCTTACATTGGGGGTCAGTGGGAAGAATGTCCCTTACATTGGGGGTCAGTGGGAAGAATGTCCCTTACATTGGGGGTCAGTGGGAAGAATGTCCCTTACATTGGGGGTCAGTGGGAAGAATGTCCCTTACATTGGGGGTCAGTGGGAAGAACGCTCCTTAGGGGCATTCTTCCCACTGTCCACCAATCTAAGGAGCGTTCTTCCCACTGACCCCCAATGTAAGGGACATTGTTCCCACTGACCCCCAATGTAAGGGACATTCTTCCCACTGACCCCCAATGTAAGGGACATTCTTCCCACTGACCACCAATGTAAGGGACATTCTTCCCACTGACCCCCAATGTAAGGGGCATTCTTCCCACTGACCCCCAATGTAAGGGACATTCTTCCCACTGACCCCCAATGTAAGGGACATTCTTCCCACTGACCCCCAATGTAAGGGACATTCTTCCCACTGACCCCCAATGTAAGGGACATTCTTCCCACTGACCACCAATGTGAGGGACATTCTTCCCACTGACCCCCAATGTAAGGGACATTCTTCCCATTGACCCCCAATGTAAGGGACATTCTTCCACTGATCACCAATGTAAGGGACATTCTTCCCACTGACCCCCAATGTAAGGGGCATTCTTCCCACTGACCACCAATGTAAGGGACATTCTTCCCACTGACCCCCAATGTAAGGGACATTCTTCCCACTGACCCCCAATGTAAGGGACATTCTTCCCACTGACCACCAATGTAAGGGACATTCTTCCCACTGACCACCAATGTAAGGGACATTCTTCCCACTGACCCCCAATGTAAGGGACATTCTTCCCATTGACCCCCAATGTAAGGGACATTCTTCCCACTGACCACCAATGTAAGGGACATTCTTCCCACTGACCCCCAATGTAAGGGACATTCTTCCCACTGACCACCAATGTAAGGGACATTCTTCCCACTGACCCCCAATGTAAGGGACATTCTTCCCATTGACCCCCAATGTAAGGGACATTCTTCCCACTGACCCCCAATGTAAGGGACATTCTTCCCACTGACCACCAATGTAAGGGGCATTCTTCCCACTGACCACCAATGTAAGGGACATTCTTCCCACTGACCCCCAATGTAAGGGACATTCTTCCCACTGACCCCCAATGTAAGGGACATTCCTCCCACTGACCCCCAATGTAAGGGACATTCTTCCCACTGACCCCCAATGTAAGGGACATTCTTCCCACTGACCCCCCAATGTAAGGGACATTCTTCCCACTGACCACCAATGTAAGGGACATTCTTCCCATTGAACCCCAAATGTAAGGGACATTCTTCCCACTGACCCCCAATGTAAGGGACATTCTTCCCACTGACCCCCCAATGTAAGGGACATTCTTCCCACTGACCACCAATGTAAGGGACATTCTTCCCATTGAACCCCAAATGTAAGGGGCATTTGTTCCACTGACCACCAATGTAAGGGACATTCTTCCCACTGACCACTAATGTAAGGAACATTCTTCCCATTGACCACTAATGTAAGGGGCATTCTTCCCACTGTCCACCAATCTTACATTAGTGGTCAATGGGAAGAATGTTCCTTACATTAGTGGTCAGTGGGAAGAATGTCCCTTACATTGGTGATCAGTGGGAAGAATGTCCCTTACATTGGTGGTCAGTGGGAAGAATGTCCCTTACATTGGTGATCAGTGGGAAGAATGTCCCTTACATTGGGGGTCAGTGGGAAGAATGTCCCTTACATTGGGGGTCAGTGGGAAGAATGTCCCTTACATTGGTGATCAGTGGGAAGAATGTCCCTTACATTGGTGATCAGTGGGAAGAATGTCTCTTACATTGGTGATCAGTGGGAAGAATGTCCCTTACATTGGGGGTCAGTGGGAAGAATGTCCCTTACATTGGTGTCAGTGGGAAGAATGTCCCTTACATTGGGGGGTCAGTGGGAAGAATGTCCCTTACATTGGTGGTCAGTGGGAAGAATGTCCCTTACATTGGGGGTCAGTGGGAAGAATGTCCCTTAACCTGTCTACCCTGTCTAAACTGGGCAGGGGACCCTATCTGCTATCAGCATGTTTGGAGAAGGGTGCGAGACCTAAAATGGTCCAAGGTTCAGAGCCTAAGCACAAACACCAGCTCTTCAACAGAGCGCCCCGCAAGGAGTGATGGACTTTACTGGTGTACCAGGTTGAGGCCCTCAGACACACCTGTGCAGATGGCAGCTGACCAAGAATAGAGCTAGAGTGTAGTACAAACTCAACAGGTGATATCAGCAATGGGGACAGGCCAAAGGTCAGGGCAGGCAGTGAACATGTGTAATGAGATACATGCTGAAGTTGGTAACCGGAGAAACAGAAATACAGAAGCTGGAGAGCTAACACTGACCAGGGGCCTTGGGCTAGGAAATGAACCTATTGTTCAGGCAATGGGTGTTGCTCTGAGGACTGCTTCATACTGAGGTTGATTGACAGTAGCAGGTGAAGTCCAACAATGCCTATACCTCCCAGTCCCCGAGCAACGCTGGCTGTATCAAGGTAGGAGAAACCACATGGTGGTGGACCCACAAGATGCAGGTGAGGACTACTAGCTTTCAGAAGACAAAACTGTGGTGTAACCAGGAATCCCTTCATTTAGCAGACAGAACTATGGGGTAACCAGGACTTCCATCATTCAGAATACAGAACTACGGGGTAGCCAGGACTCCCACTATACAGAAGACAGAACTATGGGGTAACCAGGACTCTCGTCATTCAGAAGACAGAACTATGGGGTAACCAGAACTCACGTCATTCAGAAGACAGAGCTATGGGGTAACCAGGACTCCCCTCATCCAGAAGACAGATCTATGGGGTAACCAGTACTCTTATCATTCAGAGGACAGAACTATGGGGTAACCAGGACTCCCCTCATTCAGAGGACAGAACTATGGGGTAACCAGGACTCCCATCATTCAGAAGACAGAACTATGGGGTAACCAGGACTCTCATCATTCAGAGGACAGAACTATGGGGTAACCAGGACTCCCATCATTCAGAAGACAGAACTATGGGGTAACCAGAACTCACGTCATTTAGAGGACAGAACTATGGGGTAACCAGGACTCCCACTATACAGAAGACAGAACTATGGGGTAACCAGGACTCTCATCATTCATAGGACAGTACTATGGGGTAACCAGGACTCTCATCATTCAGAGGACAGAACTATGGGGTAACCAGAACTCACATCATTTAGAGGACAGAACTACGGGGTAACTAGGACTCTCATCATTCATAGGACAGTACTATGGGGTAACCAGGACTCTCATCATTCAGAAGAAAGAACTATGGGGTAACCAGGACATCCGTCATTCAGAGGACAGAACTACGGGGTAGCCAGGACTCCCACTATACAGAAGACAGAACTATGGGGTAACCAGGACTCCCACTACTCAGAAGATAGAACTGTGGGTAACCAGGACTCCCACTATTCAGAAGACAGAACTTTGGGGTAACCAGGACTCCCGTCATTCAGAAGACAGAACTAAGGGGTAACCAGAACTCCCATCATTCAGAAGACAGAACTTTGGGGTAACCAGGACTCCCACTATACAGAAGACAGAACTATGGGGTAACCAGGACTCTCATCATTCAGAGGACAGAACTACGGGGTAACCAGGACTCCCGTCATTCAGAAGACAGAACTACGGGGTAACCAGAACTCCCGTCATTTAGCAGACAGAACGATGGGGTAACCAGGACTCCTGGCATTCAGAGGACAGAACTATGGGGTAACCAGGACTCCCACTATACAGAAGACAGAACTATGGGGTAACCAGGACTCTCATCATTCAGAGGACAGAACTACGGGGTACCCAGGACTCCCACTATACAGAAGACAGAACTATGGGGTAACCAGGACTCTCATCATTCAGAGGACAGAACTATGGGGTAACCAGAACTCCCATCATTTAGAAGACAGAACGATGGGGTAACCAGGACTCCTGGCATTCAGAGGACAGAACTATGGGGCAACCAGAACTCTCGTCATGCAGAAGACAGACCTTTGGGGTAACCAGGACTCCCATCATTAAGAGAACTATGAGGTAACCAGGACTACCGTCATTCAGAAGACAGAACTATGGGGTAACCAGGACTCTCATCAGTCAGAGCACAGAACTATGGGGTAACCAGGACTCCCATCATTCAGAAGACAGAACTGTGGTGTAACCAGGACTCCCATCATTTAGAAGACAGAACTACGGGGTACCCAGGACTCCCCTCATCCAGAAGACAGAAATACGGGGTAACCAGAACTCCCCTCATCCAGAAGACAGAACTATGGGGTAACCAGGACTTCCACAATTGAGAATACAGAACTATGGGGTAACCAGGACTCCCCTCATACAGAAGACAGAACTATGGGGTAACCAGGACTCTCATCATTCAGAGGACAGAACTATGGGGTAACCAGGACTCCCCTCATCCAGAAGACAGAACTATGGGGTAACCAGGACTCTCATCATTCAGAGGACAGAACTATGGGGTAACCAGGACTCTCATCATTCAGAAGACAGAACTATGGGGTAACCAGGACATCCGTCATTCAGAATACAGAACTATGGGGTAACCAGAACTCCCCTCATCCAGAAGACAGATCTATGGGGTAACCAGGACTCTCATCATTCAGAGGACAGAACTATGGGGTAACCAGGACTCCCCTCATCCAGAAGACAGAACTACGGGGTAACCAGGACTACCATCATTCAGAAGACAGAACTACGGGGTAACCAGGACTCCCCTCATCCAGAAGATAGAACTATGGGGTAACCAGGACTCCCCTCATCCAGAAGACAGAACTATGGGGTAACCAGGACTCCCCTCATCCAGAAGACAGAACTATGGGGTAACCAGGACTCCCCTCATTCAGAAGACACCCGCCTCTAGCATATTCCACAACCATGGACCAGATGAAGACGTCTGTAAGCAGTTAATACATTTGCGAAGCATCGAAAGAATGTTCTCTGGAACTTGTCTGAGAAATTTGTGGATGGGCACCAACTCACTAAATACTGCGATTAATCACTGATGAAGTCTAGTCCTTCAAAATTGGAGACATCGCTGCAATTGTTGGGTCACTGTCATGAATTGAAGGAAAAAAGGGCTGACGAGATCAAAGGGAAACGATTTTGCCAGCAGATCCAGATGTTCAGCTAGAGCTTGTTAGCTCGGTGTTACGCTTCTGGCTCAGCACTGGGGTTGTCCAGGACCGTCATCTGGAGCATGCTTGGCAGATGACCATTTGAGGTGTGTCTGGGATTCTGCCAGACTGCATTAGCGGAACTTCACGTCGACTGACCAATGATGAACCCCCCCCCCCAGGATTCGGGTCGTTTGATTACACATAGATGGACAGAAAGAATATTCTTTGCAGATATCAAACCATGGAACGGTTCCCAGGTCCAGGTGCACCACAAAGGACTCGTTGCAGGTACTTTGACCCTGAACCAGGGGTGGACTGACAACTCATGGGGCCCCCGGGCAATAGGGGATAATGAGGCACCTGTGTCCTTGCCCAAATTCAAAAAAGCCTATGAAAAGGTACCAGGGGCATCTCATGGGGCCCCCTACTGCAGGGGTACCTCATGGGGCCCCCTACTGCAGATATCAAACAATGTAACGGTTCCCAGGTCCAGGTGCACCACACAGGACTCGTTGCAGGTACTTAGACCCTGAACCAGGGGTGGACTGACAACTCATGGGCCCCCGGGCAATAGGGGATAATGAGGCACCTGTGTCCTTGCCCAAATTCAAAAAAGCCTATGAAAAGGTACCAGGGGCATCTCATGGGGCCCCCTACTGCAGGGGCATCTCATGGGGCCCCCTACTGCAGATATTAAACAATGGAACGGTTCCCAGGTCCAGGTGCACCACAAAGGACTCGTTGCAGATACTTAGACCCTGAACCAGGGGCGGACTGACAACTCATGGAGCCCACGGGCAATAGGGGATCATGGGGCCCCTGTGTCCTTGCCCAAACTCAAAAAAGCCTATGAAAAGGTACCAGGGGCATCTCATGGGGCCCCCTACTGCAGGGGCATCTCATGGGGCCCCCTACTGCAGATATCAAAACAATGGAACGGTTCCCAGGTCCAGGTCCACCACAAAGGACTCGTTGCAGATACTTAGACCCTGAACCAGGGGTGGACTGACAACTCATGGGGCCCCTGGGCAATAGAGGATCATGGGGCCCCTGTGTCCTTGCCCAAACTCAAAAAAGCCTATGAAAAGGTACCAGGGGCATCTCATGGGGC